ACCCCCCTTCCTCCTGGGCCCGAGCGCGCCATGGCGGTATTGCAGGTTTTTGTTTTATGTCGTTTTTATTTTTATTTTTTACCCCCCCCTTTTTTTTTACTGCTAGGATAAAGAGTGTGTTTTTGTTCATAGCAAGGGCACAATTAAAACACGGAATGAGAGCCCTTCTGGCATACAAGACATGTCATCTGCACCAGGGGCCATAGCACAACCTGCTTCCTTCACGTACAGCTACTTGTGTGGGAAGGCAGGGCTGAGCGGAACCAGCACAGCAGCTTTTTTGGGGTGGGTTTAGGGCCAAATTCTGCAGCTAACTAGCCCCTCCACACACCCTGTTCACTATCAAAGTTGCTCTGTGGCCACCCTGGATATACTACTTCTGAAAGTGGTTTTCAAGAGTGGTTTGGGATGACCATGCTTCTCTCTTGTTAGGAATTCCTACAGACACATGGCCCAGAGGGCAAAATATTTACCCCATGGGCTTGCCAAACAGCAGAGTTAGCTCTGGCTTTTCAGTGAGTTGCAAGTGTGGGAATGCACCCTGAAATGGTAAAGTATGCATGCAAAAATGTGAAAAATCCACAGGTGTTTCTGCTCATAAAGGGCTTCCTGCTGCTGGCAGCGAGGAAGTGAAGGTTGACAGGGACACATGTAATCAAATTATTTTTAAGGGATTTAGCTATTCAACAACAACAACAAGAAAACCCAAGACAACCAAGCCAGATGACTTGACGGCCAGTTGCTTTGTTTACCAACCCATAGCCAAATATTTTTATGCATACCAGAACCTAACCATCAAAAAAGAAAAGCAGTTTTTTCTTTATGTTTTCAGCTAGCCTGCAGTGGGTGTCCCTTAGTTAATGTAACAGCCTGAATTACATGAATAAAAGGAAATTTCAGTTAAATCTAGCTTCTGAGCTTCTACCCATATCAATTAGGTAACAATTTCAGAGGAACTGATTCTAGTCACAGGCCACAGTTTGTTCCTGAGCAAATCCTTGAAAAAGTAGTACAGTTTTGCCACTACACAGCAATAATTGTTACAGGGAGTAATATGTCAAATGCAGAAGGTTCAGATTTGGTATGTAAATCCCAGGAAATCTGGCATCTCCAGGTTTTTATTTTTAATTAATTACCTCAGCCTGGATCTCCTGTCACCTTGCCAGGTTGTCAGATTGCCAGAAATACTTCTGCTGATATTTGTTTTCCTTTCTTCCATATTTTGCTATTGATTCTCTTCCCTGGAATTCCCTCATAACTCTCCCAGCAAGTCACATTTCAGAACTGAGTAAACCAGCATAGCATATTTGAATACTAATCTGATTTGCCTAACAAGTTATGGACTTCCATAGTTGCCTTTTTTTATGTCAGCAGAGAACCAGCCCTTTGAATCTCTTCAAAATTCCCCAGCCCAAGTCAGTGCTTTGCAACCACTGTCCTTTGAAGAAATGATGATTAAAGTTCCCTCAGATTCTTCCCGGTTTGCAGAGAGAGAAATATAATTTCAAATTAATGCCCATGAAAAAATATTTCCTGGGGCAGAAGGACTGGCAACTTTCAAGCCAATGTTAAACTCAAGGATTTACCTGCATCCTCCCACGGAAATCCTTTTTTTTTTTTATCATGAGAGCAGACCCAAGGGGATCCTCACTGAGTTCATCCTCTAACATGATATTTTCAGCTTTTATGCATCCCTGCAGAGTAGGTTGGGGGTAAGGGAGTCCGGACTGCGTGGTCCTATCCATGACAATGCTCACTATGGAAATCTATCTGCATCACATCATTTTGGAAGAAGATTTTGAAAAGCATACAGGATTGTCAAAAGTATGTTAAGCATATAGGCCCTAAGTGCCAATCTTCAGGTAAAATTTGAGGAGAAAATCCCACTGCCGTTGTGCTAGTGTTTTGAAACTCACTATAATTAGGCATCTCTTTCTCCCTAAGCTTAATTAGCTGTTGAGAAACAGTAATTATCATAGGTAGAACATGAGAGGAATTAATAGAGAAAAGTTGCATGCTTAGGACGACCACAACCACTCAGCCTTCTTTACACTGCCTCTAGAGAAATCACTTCAAAACAATTCACAGCATATGTTTTATGCAGGCTGAGGGTGTTTCTTGCTGAAATCCAGCTGTTTAGCTGTGTGAGCGGGAGGAACCGTAAGTTTAGGTGCTTGCTGGCATCTAATCGAGCCACCGATGTCAGTGCAGCTCCGGAGCGGCCTGGACGTAGGAGTTGGGCACATGTCAGGGTGCAGGAGACAGGAGGACGTTAGTTGGGACACGGGGCTTAGTTAGGAGCCTTTGCCCTCTCTGCTGGGGTACCTAGGAGCAATTGTAAGTATCACCCCTGGTATCCTCCAGTTCCTCGTTTCAGCATGCAGAGGCCGGGAACACTACGGATGCTAAATGAAATGTACAGTGAAATGATATCTGCTATCTGAAGTACCTGGGTCTTCTCTTTCCCCATATAACAAGCAGGACCCAGGAGGATTAGCTGACCAAGGGCGTTCTCCAGCCTCTGCTGAAGTTAGCGAAAGGCTTCCCAATGACTCCACTATTAGCTGGACCAGATACTTAATTTCTGATTCCATTATGTCTCCCTTTACTTATCTCACCACCAGTCAAATAGCTTTAATCTTTTATCCTCCTTTAAATGGAAAATTTTTACACTCCTAATGAGTTTCATTGCCATTTTTGGATTTTCAGCTAAATCTCTTTTTTCTTTTTTTTGAAGATGGCCAGAATACTGAAGGCAGTATTTAAAACAGATTTTCAATGTCAGACTCTGTCCTTCTCTGACAAAGTGCCACTTCTTCTCCTGACCACTCCATTAGCGAGCATTAGGTCCCTTGTAGCATTGGCATATATTTCTCATACTCTTAATGACTGTGTCATAGCAAGTACATGCTTGCTTTCTAGTTCAAGAATGCTACATTGCTACTTATCTCCAGAAGAGGCACTTTATCATCTCTTTCAGGGTTTGTGATTTCTGTCACTATCTTTGACACCAACAAGGTGTGGATGGAGAGGAGAATTTATCAAAAAGCTCCTAGGTTACTAGGCTGTGTTGGTCTTTTTAGCGTGGGCTACCAGTTTCTGTCACATGATAAATGTACTAAGCTTTCTTGTGCTGCTGTATCAAGCTC